GGTATGATTGTTGGAAGATATAGGGAATTATTCAACAAGACTAAAAATTCACATAAGAACCTGGGATTCACCATTAGTCATTTTCTTCTGCATAGGTGGATACAAAATCAAGACTAAAAGAAAGGAAGCATTGAGCAAGACATTGGATCTGAGTAAGCAATAAGTACCTCAAATGATCACAAGAAAATAATCAAGAGCACAGAGTGATAAGTTCCTTAGATGGTTAGAAAGAAGAAAGATATCTCAGAAGGGTTGACTCTTAATAAGAAGAGGTATTTAGCAAAGATTCTTTGGAGGGTATAAAACAATTTTAATTTCTTTTTTCTTTTTATTTTTATGTAGTGTATTTACACATTTTTAGATATCCTCTTTTCCTTTTATTTTTTTCTTTCCCCTTTTGTAGTTTCTCAAATTCAGTTTCTTGAAGAATAATAAGCAGTGACAACCTGTTGGCAATAATGAATAAATTAAGAGAGTCTTCATCTAAAACTTAGTTAGAGCAAAATATTGTTCCCAAGGTTGCACTTAGAGGCTAAAGCTCTTTTAAGAATTGAAAGCCATTGACAAGTGTGTCAGTATGTGTCTTTTAGTTTAGCCATGATGCAATTGTTCTATATATTTTAATTGGTTTTCTTAATAATTAATAAACATATAATGCTGGCTTGACCATGGGTTTAAAAAAAAAAAATAATAATAATAATATGATGAATATATAAAAGATATAAACTCTTCTGCTGATCCTCTAACCATACACAAAAAAGATATTCACAAGAAGTTTTATATTTCTTTGCTAATAAAGTTTTTACACTTTTATTAAAATAACTTGAAGCTTGTCTTCATATATTTCTCCTACCTTCCCTTACTTATTTATAAACTTTTTTGAATAAAAACTTGAGCCTCTAGTGATCTAAAAAGACTCAAATACATATTTTCTCTACTAAGGGCAAGAAGATTCTAGGAAGTAAAAGAACTAACATCACCTTACAGAGCTAGAAGTGACAAGAAATAGTGATTTTGTTGATAGAAAAAGACTTATTATCCACATTTTCATATACTGTCTTGTACTCTCTTAAAGTGTTTACTGTTTTTTACAATTTTCTTGAGGAATTTTGCTTATCTCAGTTTGATCCTGAATTTCTGATAGTACAATATTACCTGACATCTAATTGATTGATATGAAACACATTAGTAACTAAATGTAAACAAGCTCCTATTGGTTACTACACATGTTTCGATAATGTCATTAATAATAGAAAGAGTTAATTGATACCCATGTTTATTCCACTTCTTCAATTAGATTAATCTATAAATCAAGTTCTATGAGGTTAATAAGATATAAGCAATAAGTCCCCAGGTAATAAAAAAGCTGCTATTCGTTTAAGCTAAGATCTTTCTCTCCTATTATCCTGGTCAGGCAAAATTCAAGACCAAGATTTTCTTTTTATCCCAGTCAGGCAATAAAACTGAATGGTCTCTAGTCCATATTAAGCTTCAACCCTTTGATTACAATTGAGAATACATTTTCTCAAAAATTGTTGAAGAATATTGCAATTGATGAGAATTCCTATCACTTTTGAGATCCTTCCACAATTACAAGACAAAAGGATTATTGGAAAATCTGACCTTTTGGATAATGGAAGATTTATACCAGTAAAATTTCTTTAATTAGATATGGCTGCTGGAAGGTATTATACTAAAACACCATGATCTAGTCCTTACTAGAACACATAAGAATCTGGAATCCATCATAAGTCATCTCTCTATCACAGGTGAATAAAAAATCATTGCTCAAAGAAGATTAAACCCATATGTGTCTTAGAAGTAAAGAGTCACACTAAGCAATAAGTCTCTTCCGATAATACACAATAAGAAAATCAAGATCAAAAATGGATAAATTCCTCAGATGGTCAGAAAAAAAAAGGATATTCCAATCAAGTATTTCTTATTGAGAAGAGGTTTGAGAAGCAGGTTTTTGGAGGAAGCTGAAAATATTTTTTTTTCAATTTTTACTTTTTCATTCTCTTATTGTCTATTTAAATATTTTTAAATATCCCCTACACTTTTTTTAATCTATCCTTTTGTAGTTTCCTATATTCCAGCAGCTTGGATCGGTATACAGTAGTGACAACCTGCTGACAATAATGCAGTGAACTAGGAGGGTTTTCATCCAAAGACACTGCAAAGTGAAATATTATTTCCAAGATTAAATTTAAAGTCTTTTATGCTTACAACAAGTTAGTTAGATTAGAATAATAGTTTAGCTGTAATATGTATTATACTATTTGAATAAAAATATACTTATGTTTTTAATTAATTAATAAATTGACAATCTAGCCTGAATATGAGTATTCAAAATAATAATAATAATAATAATATGGTGAATATATTTCTAGGTTACCATCATGAGTTATTAATTCAATCCTACTTGGGAACAGTACTACAAAAATATCTCAGATAGCATATAGATCCCATTTATTCAATGGTGTTGATCCTATTATATTTGATCAAGACTTTATTTGATCACAAGAAATACAAAAAATCATGAAGATGCTTTAGCCAGTTTTAGACTATATGTCATCTTATTATTAGACAAATTATTATATCATCCTAGCAGATAGAGGAAGATTTGTATACTATATAATTAAGAATTTAATAAAGCTCAGATATATTAGTTAGAAGTAGTTTCTCTTTTTAAGAAAAGATATCATTTAAGATTCTATATAATTACTTTATAGATAGGCTGTAATAAGTTATATAAAAAGAGTGATTTGGTGGAATGAGACATTATTGAAGAATTTATATAGATACTTTATAATAAGTAATATAAAAAGAATATTTAGCAAAACAGATCAAGAAAAAAGAAAAAGAAAAGAAGATAGTTTAAGAGACTAATAGCCAGTAAGATAGAAGTATCTGGACTATGACTTAAGGACAAATTTAAAAAATAAGTCATATTTTCTAACAACAAGTCATATAGAAGTTGCCAATCAGTCAAATAAATTTCATTATAAGCTTTAGTTATGCAAAAAGTATATAAGCTAGATTAAAGAATATAATATAGTACTCTATAATTGTAATTCACATTACTGTAACTATATTATAATAAAGTTGATTTTATTAATCCTTTCTAAAAAAAATTATTTATTTATTTATTTATTTTTAATTTACTATTAGTATTAGACTCTGTAATAATGAATTGTAGACAATAATGATTATAGTAGAAAGATATTAATTCAAACTATAAACAGAATAAAACATCATTTTCAAAGTTGCACTTAAAGTTTGAAATAAATTAATATAAATGAATTAGTTAGTATTTTAGCTTTAGTGATACTATAAATAGTATAACTTACTTTATATTTAATAAAGCATATATAATTAATTTAATAGTGGATTAAAAAAAAAAATTAATTTATTATTAGACTAAAACTCTTTGTGTTGATTCTTTGACTCTATACAAAAAAGATGTTCATATGAAATTTTTCACTTTTTTGCTAATAAAGTTTTAATACTTTTTTAAAAACAACTTTAAGTCCAATTTCAAAAGTTATTTTTATTCTTTCTCTATTGTTTACAAATCTTTTCATCCAAAAACTTAACTTCCAATAATCAAGAAAAGTCAAGTAATATCTTTTATATCAATAGTAAGAAAGGTTTCAACGAAAGAAGAACTGATTGTAAAATATTTGAAGACCCTTTTAACCTTTAAAGCAAAAGATTTATAAAGGTTTTGTTGTAGTTAAAAGGCTTATTTTTTTCTTTTAAACTGTTCTAACCTTCTTAAAATTTTTACTTTAACAGTTTTCTAAGAAATTTTGCCTACATCAGTTTAATCCTAAATTTTTGATAGCACAAATTCTCATTAAAGATGATTGACTAACATAAAATATATTAGTTTTTGGGATATAAATAAGCTCCTAATAATTATTTTATATGTTCTGATGACATCATTAAGAATAGGAAGAGTTGATTGATGCCCTGTTTTTACTTTGCTCCTCCAATTGGATTAACATATCACTAGTTGAAAAAAATTTATTCAACATACTGTTACTCATGTAACATTTGGCAAAAAAATGACATAAATAAATTGGCAACTACAAAAATTGACATATTAACAATTTGGTTTCAAAAAAATCTCAATAAAATGAGTGAAATATAAAATGAAGTAATCAGATTTTGAGCTTTGTCAGAATATTGCAAAGTAATTTAAAGTAGTAATTCACAAGCAATAAAGTTAGCAGTTGAAAAGTCTTTACCTGAACTATCAATAGAGCAATAAATCACTCTTGAAGTTGTACTTAAAGTTTTGATAAATTTCAAAATAAAAATGAGTGAGTTAGGTAAAGATTTAGCTTTAGTAATACATTTCACAATGTAAAGTACAGTATACAAATGTTTAATAAAGCACACATGCTTAGCTTAACAGAGGGTTTAAAATAAAAATAAAAATAAAATATATCTAGCTGATCTAATAGTAAATTAAAAAATAAAATATAAACTATATTATAATTTAAAGTTTTTTAGATTTTCTTAATAAAGACAAGCCATTGCGACATGATTGTGGGTTAAAAAAAAAAAAATAATAATGTACTATTTTATTTTTTTAATCATTGTGAATTAATCAAATGTGATTAAAAATTGATACGAAAAAGTTTTTTCGAAATTATTGATTGTAACCCTAACCCTAACCCTTCAAATCTATCTTTTAAATCACGTAACTTGTGAACATTCATATTTTCAGTATATGCGGTGTATATTTATTTATTAATAAATAATAATAATAATATTATGATTATTTGACATTTAAAAAATATTAATGTGTTTATTTTATTTTTTTTATAATTATCTTGTTTAACATAAACTCCACGCGATCCAATGTCAAGTTCATTGAACCTCTCAAATTAAAAACATTATTATCTATTTGGTAAATACAGTAAATGTTTTTGATTCATGCCGTCTATAGTTTTTATATTCCAATTTTCCGTCCTACGCGTTTTGCGTCACCGCTCTCTAACCTTCAAACTGCCCTTATAAATAACCTCGGGTGGAGAACCAGCCGTGGTGGCGTTTATAAACTCAAAATTCATTTTGTCCTCGTCATCACGAATCCTTACGTGCAAGAATCCCATCGTACCGCCTGGCGCCGACCACGAGGCACCCTTGCATCCTTTCAAGTCGTGTATGCTAGCCGCACCTGTTGTGAAGTATGTCACCGGGGACGTCGAATTTACGGACTCGACTTCTAACATGTGCGAGTGACCGGCGAAATAGGCCGTCACACGATATCTTTCGAAGAGTGGTGGAAGTTTGGACAAGTAATATTGATCTCTGCATTTGCCAATAAGTGTATGATGACCTTTCATTGTGAAAAGAAGTGATGAAAAAAACGAGGACGAAAAATTTTAAAACCAGTGAATACCATTGAAACTTGGAACTCACCAACAACAAAAATCCACTTGGCATCTTGAACGCACTTCAGTTGTTCTTCGATCCAGTCCAACTTCTCTTGAATTTCTTTTGTAGTATTTAATTTTAAGATGCCGAGATTCTCTTTCATATCATTCCTATTATCGAGACTAGAATAATTGTAGGCAAATGGGTCCGTGTCAATGTGGATCCACGCGACCTTGGTATTCATTTTTCCAAATTTTGATACGCGGACATAGTATAATGACGGGAAAAAAAATCTTTGATTGACCGTCCAGTAGTAGTCCACTTGTGCCGTGACGTTTGTATACCAGTCATGGTTTCCTGCGACAGTATACCACGGAATCTCCGCCAATTTTCCACGATATGCGTCTAACCATACAGAATTCCATCTTGGGTCATGGACGGATAAGACTCCATCATAATCCGAAGAGTTTGTCTGATAGAAATTGTCTGGAGAAGACAGACGACAGAAAGAATGGCGCATTTTCTTTTTAATCATTGTTGACGCTATCGAGGGTCAATATCATTTTAAATTAAATTCTTGCTGGACGACAAGCTTACCACCGACATTAATGACAAACAAGGTATCATTATTTTTAGCCCACGTTTCCATCGCGGCAGCAACGGAATCTTTTCCAGGACCTGGAAGACCCCAGTCCCCTATGGCCAGGAAATCCAAATCGTGCCTATAATTTTCATGAAATATTTTTGGATAAGGGATCGATATCATCATCTTTTCACGTTCATTGTGAGATATGATAGGTGTGGCATAGGTGGAATTCGCCAACACGCCTAATGAGACGACGAGTACTTGAAGGAATTGAACAATAATATCTAGCTTCATCGCTTTAGTTTGTAAATGATAATTAATTTACAGTTAATTTCCGCAAATGACCTATCCCTATTTATTTAAAATAAAACCTTTTTTATCTCCGCGATTGCTATTTATGCATATCCCCATAAGCCATCATTTTATTATATTACTATTGTCGCGTTATTATATGTTTCTTCCATTCGTTGCCAAATAGTGACTAGCGGGCATTAGTAATCAAATGATGGTAATTATTAGACTTACGTCAGTAGCGCACCTATCGGGTCATAGTACCAAAGTTCTTTCGCGTTAGCTCATGCTGGTGGTGGCGGCGGTATGCATAACTGTGTCACAAAATTCTCATAGAAAACTACCTTTCAAAATAATCAAATTTGACATCTGCCTCCGCGATGTATTAGAATTTTCCATCCATGATGTTAAAACAATGGGAATGCAAAAACACGTGTGTAACGATGGTAGAAGAATAATATGAACCCCTCAAAAAAAAAAAAAAAAAAAAAAAAGATTCTTCGCCGATCTTAATTTCCTATGAACTCTACAGCGTCAATATGATTAACTTCGTAAATATAAATGGAGGCTTCATTGGAACTCTCAAACACAAAACTATTCCAAATTAAACAAGGCACAACTTTACTTAATTGGAATTTGATTATCTCACGATATTCGCATAGAATGCGAAACCCGTTATTAGAAAAATTTTTGATTTTGCTATATTCCCATTTTTCCATATTCTCCTCGACACTCCAAATTTCGGGGTCTCGTCCATCTCCAAAAAACCAAATTATGAGCTCTGGCTTTCGTTTCGTTTCAATGGCCAGAATCATCAATTCTCGGAAAAACGATGTGAAATTAGGTAGGAGGTGCAGGAAAGGTTCATTTTTAGGTTTGATGTGACGTTGAGAATTTTCGTCGGAAAACTGAGGAAAAAAAAAAAAAGAATCAGAATAAACGTATAATTGCGACGAAGGGAATCGTGGATGTTGCTTACCGAACGTGAAGTTCGCAGAGTTTTTTCGTTCGACATGGTGGAACAAAATGGTTTTTCAATTTACGGGTGGCAGATGGATAAATTCGTTCTTTGATTTGAGTTTGATGGCGTGAAGTAACATTCATTCATTGGTGAGGGTCTGATGTCTTCATGTGCAAAGCTTAATATATTATTCGTGTTGTGTCGGAAATCGAAAACTGCATTGCATCTATATACGGTGCGATTATCGTTGTTATTCCATAAATTACTTACCACCGAAAGAAAAAATTAAATCTCCGTTTAATTATTATCGTTAACGTAGTAAATGACGTACGACGTTTCACGAATCCATTCCATTTCTCCCTTATATCGTGTATCGTATCTAGCTTGAGAAAAAAAAAGTATAACCTAATTAGGGACCGCTTTATAGCATCCAAAAACACTATGCGACATGAGACAGGTTTTTACCAGAGACTAACCAGCTCGAGATTTAATTTGTTAATGGAATTTATCAGTAGTGTAAAAAAAAAAAAAAAAGATCAGCTTTAATCTAAAGATTTCAATTGATCTATTAAATAATCTAAAAGATCAAACGATCCGTTAATAATCTAAAGATTGAGTGGGTGAGTGGTCCAAAGCAAGTCATCCGTTGTCTTGTGGCGCGCACGACGCATCCAGTCGTCGTTTGCGATTGAGGGCATTAAGCAAGTTAAATTTCAAGATTCCGCATCTTTTTGATTAGGCGTGTATACTGTATACCGTATGTTGATTTTACCTTAAATGTAGAAAATGTAGACTTTTGCACGCACAGTATTTAAAATTTAAAAATCACCAATTATACTTAATTATACTTTTTACAAGCTTTTTGGTGTGGAAACAACCACCTTTAAGCTTAAAATATGTAATATACAGTATATCCACAAAATGTACAGTGTAGTTGCAAGATGAAATGAATGTTAAAGCATACAGTGTCTGGAGTTAATGGATTGATGTTATTTATTCAATATGTTTAGAAAATATTTGCAAATGAAGATATAACAGTTTTTTTTAGA